GGTGTCGCTGCCGGTACAGAGGGGTTTAAAATAGAACTAAAAAAAGTCTCCCTGAGAAATAAAATGCTGCAGCAGCAGATTGTCACTTAGCGGGTTCATGGTGTGACCCGATCATGTGATATCTAATAGAGGATCAGAACATGAAGCCGTGTCCCAGAACTTGTTATAATCAGTAGAAAAGTTTACTTTTATTTTTAATTACTAGAGGTGCACCGAAACCAAAAATATATTCTCTTTTATAAACGTTTACATTTTATATATTATTTCTCTTTATTTTTATTAAATATTTGTATTTTTTACTTTACTTTTAGAATGTCCTCAATTATCTACAAACACTCAGCGATCCCCGACTGCTTGTACTCGCTCTCCATCCCGACCCGCCGTCACAGGAGGCTGAGCGAGCAGTGCGGGGAGGAGAGCTCGATCGGACAGCTGACTCCTCCCCTGCACCCGCCAGGCAGCCTCCTGTGACAGCGCTGCCTGTCTCCGCCCCCCACACACCGCTCTCCTCTTATCTGCGATAGGAGGCTGAGCGGTGTGGGAGGTGAGACGCCGGCCACTCACAGCGCTCGGCCGCCTGTGACAGTTCCTCTCCCCCCCGCTGGGACACAGAGCAGCGCACAGCGGGGAGGAGAGGAATGGAATTAGCCGTGCATGGGGCCACTGTTCAGTTCAACAATGTCCTGTTGGAGCCCGTGCACGGCACTGTTCAGTTTGCCTTTCAGGACTTCCTGTCCTATAATTTAGCGCTCACTGGCATCCATGGCAGAAGAGGAGAGTGATGGAGCCATGGTGGAGGAGGAGAGGCGAGGAAGCTTTCACCCGAGACTCCAGGGGCCGCTGTCATTCTAGAATGGAAGTGAGCAATCCAGAGGGGGGAGACAGACCGGCATCGCGGTGAAGGAAATGCCGGCGCGTGCGGTGTCAGCACATCCCATCAGAAGTTCTCTCTTGGGAGCGAGAATTTCCCTGGCTACATTCTAAGCTCCACGGAGGTATGAAGGATGAACGTAGCCACCAAAAACTAGGAAGTGCGAACAACAAGTACGATTTTTTTATGTTATTTTGAAGCTCCGCCGTAACATCAGAACACAAGTTCTCCCGAAACTAGAAAATCTGATCAGGAGCGCAGGCACTCTACACCAGCGAGCGCAGGCACTCTACACCAGCGAGCGCAGGCACTCTACACCAGCGAGCGCAGGCACTCTACACCAGCGAGGATCAATTTATGTCAGACTAAAAGGATCACTAAAGGTATGCGACAAAAACCAAACCACAACATGGGAGAGACATGTGGGCGGAGAGTCTGGGAGGAGGCAAGAGTACTAAACCAACCGGATAAACGACTCACCTTTATCGTCGTCTTCTGCAGACTTCTCTGCAGCCTCCCCGTTATTCGCAGTCTGTGAGTCTGTGCCTGCAAGCAAGAGACAATCAGAAGAATTCCACCGAGTCCACAAAGCAATTCTCAGAGTTCCCGTCCCACCCAGTACTTTGTGTCTCTGCCCCTCCCACAATGGTGAGATTACCTCCAGTAGTTTGTGTCTCTGCCCTTCCCACAATGGTGAGATTTCCCCCCCCCCAGTAGTTTGTGTCTCTGCCCCTCCCACAATGGTGAGATTATGTTATTTTGAAGCTCCGCCGTAACATCAGAACACAAGTTCTCCCGAAACTAGAAAATCTGATCAGGAGCGCAGGCACTCTACACCAGCGAGCGCAGGCACTCTACACCAGCGAGCGCAGGCACTCTACACCAGCGAGCGCAGGCACTCTACACCAGCGAGGATCAATTTATGTCAGACTAAAAGGATCACTAAAGGTATGCGACAAAAACCAAACCACAACATGGGAGAGACATGTGGGCGGAGAGTCTGGGAGGAGGCAAGAGTACTAAACCAACCGGATAAACGACTCACCTTTATCGTCGTCTTCTGCAGACTTCTCTGCAGCCTCCCCGTTATTCGCAGTCTGTGAGTCTGTGCCTGCAAGCAAGAGACAATCAGAAGAATTCCACCGAGTCCACAAAGCAATTCTCAGAGTTCCCGTCCCACCCAGTACTTTGTGTCTCTGCCCCTCCCACAATGGTGAGATT